AGGGGAAACACCGAATAAAGTCGAGACATAATACCCATGAGTGGATATGTTCGAAATCATGCAATTCTACAACAAATAAACCTTTTTGCAAGCTTAAGCAACACCCAAATGGGTCTGTTTCCAAGAAAATGAAAATAAAAATAAAAATCAAACCTTGTTGTTTACCCTGTTTCACCATTGTCTATAAATGAGTTTGTTTATTTTTATTTTTCCTTTCGCTTTATTATTTTTCTGCGTTTTGTTGATTCTTCGTTCTTCATTGTTTCTTCCTTCTTTGTTGTTTCTTTGTTCTTTGTTTCTTCTTTGTCTTGAAATGGGTATAAAGTGATGAACAATGGTTTTTTCTGCGCCTTTTTAGCTTCTTTCTTGTTGTTTGATTTTTGAAATGTAACGGGCAAAGAGCGTGTAATACAAACGGCGCGTTGGAGGTTGAAAATAAGTTATATAAAATTAGTATAAAGTAAAGGGTATTTTAGTATTTACACATTTCATTAGGGACTGATCTGCATATTAGGCGCGTGAGTAGGGACTGATTTGCTTGGGGAAACTACCTAGGGACTGATCTGTGTTTTGTGTTTTGAATTAGGGATTTATCTGTAGTTTCCCCCTTGTCCAATTATTAGTGGACCAAAAAATTCAAGTAATAAATAGGAAGTGGAATGGACACAAATTTAAGTCGTCCACGTGGTAATCACATGTTGATGCTTCATTGCTCATGTTTTTCTAATAATATTCGTATTTTCGTCTGTGCATTCGGTAAACCTACACTCTCGTATTATTCGAATCTCGGTTGGCTGACACATGTTCATTTGCTCGAGTCATATACTATAGGTCCACTGAGTAAACATATACTATAATAGCTTGCAAACCATATGTATTATAAATTATACTAGGCTAACCACGTGTGACAAGCTCCACCTTACAAACCATACGAGAGTAAACGACACTACGCTAACTATGTATGACAAACTCCACCTAGCAATCATTGGTAAGGGGATTTGAATGTGTGTCGACTAACACATGCATATTTACTTTCTCCAACCACTACACTATCATTTACAAGACAGTAATAACACGCTGACAAATACAATGGATGTAGTTGAAACGACCAGATAATTGTTCAAATTTATTTACATTCTATCGTTCTAAGCTCCAACAAGTTTGTAAAAATCAAATTTGAATCGAGTAATTTAATTTGATTTTCTGTTGAGTATTTCCAAAAAAATCACAGGGCTACTCATTAATTAAGAGCAACTCAAATAGAGTGGTTGCACATCAATTATCTCATAGAAAATAATAATAATTTAAATATTTTAGGTTTAAATGGTTTGAAAATCTCACCATGCATTTATGGTTCATTAGATTCTATTTCTCATATTTGAAAAATAGTACCATCCAAAATGAATTATCATTAATGTTACCATTACAAAGTCAAATCATTAATAATTTATTTAAAAAAAAGTATAAATATTTGGCGAGCCCAAAATCATATGAGAATTAGGCCTTTTTAATCGGGTCAGCCCATTTATCTTACGGGCCTTCACATTATTCATTTATATATTAGGGACAATTACACATCACCCCCTAAAATTCTAATGTTTGCACTTTAACCCCTACAAATTTTAGTAAGTGAATGTCCCCTTCAAAATGTTATTTTTTTTGCACATTGCCCCCATAGCAAAATTTTGATGAATTATTCATCGTAATTGAGTATTTTTGTTTCATGTGGCACCTTAATATGTTATTATTATTGCACGTCACCTCTTAAATTTTTTTTTTTGCACATTTTCCTTTTAAAATATTATTTTTATTGCACAATGCCCACAAAAATTGGCTTATGGGGCAAAGTACAACCAAAATAATATTTTGAAGTAGAATTATCCAGTTTTTGAATTTTTAGGGTGGAAAGTGCGAAAATAGAAAATTTGTAGGGGGTGAATTATGATTTATAAATAATATTTTTCTAATAAATAAAATAAAGACGGGAAAAACTATTCGGTGGAACCTTCTGTAAAGCGGAAGCGGCAAAAGCTCGAAGGAAAAAGCTCGCTTTGCACAACTGTACGTCGACTGTAAATTCATGGCTTTTTGTGCTTTACGATGAAAATTCGTTCGCGTAATTTGTTATTATCAAATTATTGTGGTGAATTTTTTCAATTAAATGAAAAAAAATTGTCCGGAAATGGGCTGGATTGGTGAAGTGCAGAAAAAATGGGTCCACATAGTTACGGGTCCGGGTCCGGGTCGGAGACCGCTAAAATTGGGTGGAAATGGAAGCAATTAGGGAATGAAGAAGAGGCGGCGGCGGCGGCGGTGGTTCATGAGAAAATGGAAAGTATGAGCCGCCCTCCGCCGCCGCCGAGCGGCGGTTACGCCGCTCGACTTTTACAGGTCTTCAACAAAATCATACAGCTCCTTTCGCTCAAGGTACGCACGTGCGAATTTTTTGATGAGATTTGAACTGTTAATAGAATTTAATGAAATCATTAGCAGAATTAAGTTATCTGGTGTTTGCAATTTGCAGAAATAAATTACTGATTAATCTGTATAGATACTATTCAGGATTGAATTGGTTGCATTTAACCGGTTTCTACTACCTTTTACGCAAGAAAATCTCGGGCAAATTACGGCCACCCCTGAAGTAAGATTAAATTACAAAAATACCCCTCTTGTTTGGATAATTACAAGTTACAATCATCCTCCTCGACTATGTATTGTCTTACATTTACCTAGGAGGGGTTTTATGGTAAGACAATGGATCGTTGAGGGGTTGTTTTGTAATTACCTAAACTTGAGGGGATTTTTCGTAATTTGACCTTACCTCAGGGGTGGCCGTAATTTGCCAAAGAAAATATTACACTATGAACTATATAAGCACCTTCTATAGTACCTTCCCTCATTTATTGTAGTTAGTTTGATGTTTAGTGTTTAATTATCTTGTTTAGATTGGTAATTAAAATTTGATGTAGTCTTGATTTTGGATCTATAAAATGGTTTCTCGTTGTTTAAAAATTTGCTCGTTGTTTAATTGTCTTACACGTCAACCCCGACGGTGTCAAATTTACCGAGGGGTTTTTCGTAAGACAATAGATAGTTGATGACGTTGTTTTGTAATTATCCAAACATGAGGGGTTTTCTCGTAATTTGACCTTACCTTAGAGGTGGCCGTAATTTGCCCAAGAAAATAGTACACTATGAACTATATAAGCACGTTCTATAGTACTGTCCCTCATTTATTTTAGATTGGTAGTTAAACTTTGATGTAGTCTTGATTTTGGATATATAAAACGGTTTATCGTTGTTAAAAAAAACGACTATGAACCTATACGTATAAGCTTCTGCTTATTTGCATATTGCATATAATTGAGCTATGGAGTAATCTCTGATCTTTTCGTTTTTTTTTTGTTTTCTTTTTTTGGTCGAAAGAGGACAACATCACAAGAAGAGGAGTTGGAGTTGCTTTTCTCAGGACTTCATCACTAAAATCGGATGTTCAAAACCGGTTAGTTAAATCAAATTTAATCCCGGTTTTCGTTTTCCGCCTCCCTCTTGAATTGGGATTAATGATTATCTCGCATTTCTGTTATGCTTTGGATTTTGAACTATACTAAACATAGGGTACTCGTCTTTGGGAATGTAGCAAATAATGACGGAATATAGCGACCGAAAAATTAGTGAAATATTTTCCATAAATAAAAACTCGAGCTCAAGCTAACTTTTCTTTGGCAATGTCAAGTTTTGTATGGCATGCACAAGCATGAGAAACGAAGTTTATCGCAAAATATATGGTTATAACTTATATCTGATAAGATGGTTTTGTGGCAGAACTATTCGAACAACGCATGGATACTCGGACAGAGCTCGGAAAATGTTATATAAGGCCATGTTGCGTAAATATGTGCTATATCTCTCTGTTATGGCAAGCTTGAGTTTTGTGCAACGATTTTTATTTTTATTTTTTTATTTTTATATATAATGTAAATAGATATCTGGCTCAGTACATGAAAGTTTATGTCTACTCTATGTATGATTAAAACAGGGTGTAAAGAAGACCAAGACTAGCTTAGCTTCTCCACAGTCTTTCTTTACTCTCGTTGACCTAAGTCAAAATTAATTGTTATGACATAATAAAGGGCAAATTACGGCCACCCTGAGGTATGGCAAAATTACGAAAAACCCATCTTGTTTGGGTAATTCCAGGCACCCCTCTCATTTTAAATATTTTTACAGCAAATTTATGTAATTCGATATTTATTTACCGAATCAGATCGTATATTCAGTTCGGTAAACGGTATGAAATGTTGGCGTACCGAAATTTCGGTTCGGTTTTACCGATTTAACATCCCTGAATATACCTCTGTGGGGTTTTTTCATAAGATAATACATAGTTGAGGGGGGTGATTGTAATTACCCAAATATGAGTGGGGTTTTTGTAATCAAGCATAACACAGGGAGGCTGCCGTAATTTGCCCTAGAATAAAATAGAATGAAAGAAACAAAATAAACCAAAATACTCAACAACTTTGTGGAAACCTTCTAAAAGCTAAAAAGTCATAACATAACATAGTAATTGTCTAATATACATATGTGTTAAAATAATTAATTGGAAAAAGTCATAACATAACATAGTAATTGTCTAATATACATGTGTTAAAATAATTAATTGGAAGAGAAAAAATGTATTTTATTCAATTTCCTGATTTTCTTATATTTGGCCCTCATGCAATATAAATGTTACACATAAGCCCTTCTGACACAAAAACAACTAGTTAATAGTAAACCAAAAAAGTTAACAAAGAAGAGATTAAAAAATAAAATTACACACAAAACTAGAATTATTTTACAAATATTACAATCACATTCGTGAGGGTATTCTGGTCATTACAAAATGAATATTTCTAAAATCTATCTGTGAGAGTAAATTCGTTCGACGAAGAATACCCCAGGGCAATGTTCATGATTACACAAACAAGGAGGACTTTTTCATAATTAAACCTTGGTAATTTGCCTTAATTTTTAAGTTTCTAGACTTAAGATCAATGCAAGTTACAATTTGTCTACTTTCCAAGAAGAAAACATCTTTCACACCAACCTAATTTGACTTCATGGAAAAAATGAGCACCAAATGGAAAAAAAATCAAATTTTTTCCATTATATATACTCGTGCACAATTGGTCTATAATTACAAAAACCAATCAAGAGAGAGAATAATATAATTAATTAGTTGATTTATTCAAAAAATGAAAGGATCTTCTTCATCACTAATAATAATGATTCAGGCGGTGGCTCTGATGATAATGGTGGTGGTTCCGGCGGCGGTGTTGGGGCAGACGCCGAGCGAGTGCAACGACGAGAAGAACAAGCTGGAAAACGGGTGCAGGGCGGTGATATTCGGGCGGGACCCTACGGCGGCGTGCTGCCAGCAGGTAAGGGCGGCACACCTTTCGTGTGTGTGTCCACTTGTCACTCCGAAGCTGGTTGCAGCCATCGGTGGGGCCCAACGTGCTATCAGACTCGTTCAGGGATGTGGTCGGACCGTTCCTCGTAACTTCAAGTGTGGAAGTAAGTGCAATTAATTTAAATTACGACTACTTCTGCAATTTGTAAATTTCTTACATTAACATCCTTTGTTAGGGGTTGATGTAAGATATTTACAAACTATAGGGGGATGCATGTAATTTTTCAAAAAGAAGGATTTTTTTTCGTAATTACGCTTCACCTTAGGGAGGGGGTTGTAATTTACCCTTAATATATATATATATATATATATATATATCTATTTCGAAATAATGTTAAAAATATTGTTCATATTATTGAATTTAATTTTATTTATTTGTAGGTTTGACTACTCCTGCTTGAAGAGTTGAACAATGATGTTTGATGATGATCGGACAAAGATAATTATTATTAAAATAAAATGAAATAATGTATGAGTTGTACGAGGTTGATTTTAATGTGGAATTGTCTCCATCAGAAATAAATAAATAGATAAAGTAATTTTATATATTTGTGTAGGGATGTGTATTTGTGGATACACATCCATAGTTAATGTTTATAGTATATTTCAGATTTTATGAATATATCTCTATATTTAAAATATTTACAGGTTTTCCATGTTCTCGAATCTTTTTATTTTGGAACGTAGGAATTTTATTTATCCTTGAATTTTTTATATATTATTTCCATGATATATTATTTCCTCATTCACATGACTTCAATGGAAATATTTTCTCAAGGATTCAACTCCGAAAACAATACCAAAGGAACCATTTTGATAATAGTCGCAACTAGGGATGTAAATCTGACAGATTGGATCGGAATTAGCACTTTTGGGAAAAATTCAATTTCTTAATAAGGAATGTAAAACTAATTCCAATCTCGTTAAAAATAAAATCGAAGAAACAAGAAATTGGTATCCGGAAATTCGAACTAAAAAACTTGTTCCAAAATCGAAAATTTCGGATTACAATCGGCATAATTCAAATTTTCGAATTTTTAGTCACCTATAATAAAAAAAAAAAACATGATAATATTGATATTTTAAGTGTATTTTCGGAAATATTTTTTGGAAATCAAAATTGGATCAGAAATCGAGACCTAGTCTGTATCCCAATTCCGTTCCAAAAAAATGGAAAAATCGGAAATCGAAATAAAACTTTTATTTCTGAATCGGAAATATTCATATCAGAATCGGCAAAATTCGGTTCACCCTTAGTCACATCTGGTCTAACGAACCGGTTGTAAAACTAGTACGAACTATGAAGTTACTAATGGTGTTCCTCCACGATGCGAGGGAACACCAAATAAGTTTAAGAGTAATGCAAAAACACTCTTCTACTCATTTGGTTTGCGTGCAGGGGATTACATTTTTCGTAATTTGACCTAACTTAAAGGAATGTCGTAATTTGCCATTTTTTTTATTGGAGTTCGAGCTGGATTTCATAATTTTGTTTAAACATGAATTTAGATGATCCGAAACGAAGCATAATATTAGTAACATACTAACATTAATCCCACAATGCCCTTCATGAGAAAAACTCACACATAAAATGCTCTCTCGATGGGCACAAAGCGTACACTTCACCTAGAGCAGAGGATGTATGGCTAAACTTATAAGCTGTTAAAAAGAGTTATAATATTTTAAGTGCTTATAAGCTCCTTCAAATTTTAGGTAATTTTTTTGAAAAAAAAT